AACATACAAGAACAAAGAATAACATGGCCTCTTCCTCAAAAACCACACCCTGCTGAGGAATGCAGAGTCCTGAACTTCATTTAATAATAATAACTAATAACTAATAATAACTTATCCTAATTATGTAAATCCAGTTCTTATTCTATTCTGTTTGTATTCTACTTTATTCTATTTTAGTTCCTAAATGTTATGTCACCCAATACTAGGTGAGAGAGAAACCATATTTCAATTTTCTGTATGTCCTGCTCATATGGTGAACTGACAATAAAATCCTTGAACCTTAACTACTTATCTGTGCAGATACATAATGAGCACAGCTGATAAAATGTGTTTGTCTCCATCACACTGTCAAAAACACCTAATAAAACATGCTGCATCTGTCCCTCTATGTCAGTACGGCCACCCAGGCAAACTGCATGTACTTTCAGCTATTAGCTATAAAAGCACAAGGAGATGGACGACAACTCCAAAATCACTTACTGGATCTTTGCAGGGTATTTTAAGAGCAATTATCCACTGTGCACATGTGTGTATTAAGCTGCATATCAGCTTGCCATGGAAACTCAATAAACTCCAAAACATCAAAGAAACAAGAAAACAAAAAAAGTGGCATGGGGTGGGTATTCAGTGGACTTGCCCCAGCACATGACATGGAGACAAAGTGAAGTTTTCAAACCTTTCACTAATACGAAAATATGTTAGAGAAAGACCTGTCCTCCTTTGAGTTAACACAAATAGGTTTTTAAATACTGCTGAGTGGTTGAGTTATACATCACAACTGGAATGCAAAATATACTCACTGTGCTTTTAAAAGTACTTCAGGCTATGCTGCGAAATAATTTGCACTTACATCCTGATGATGGCATGTAAACAGCACCAGAGTGAGAGCAAGGGATGAGCAGCAGAATCAGGGCAAGTGAACTACTGGTTATAAGAGCCAGCTAAGCCTGTCTGAGAATGCTGTCTACACACCCTAGCTGGAAATATCACTAGTCAAATTAGCTAGTCTAACACTTTTAACATGTCTAATGTCAAGTCAAAGCAGTATTAGTAAATGCTGTAAACACATGCTTGTCATGTCTGCAGCCATGTTTTGGAAGCATGTGGATGGATCACATGGATGTTAATGGAAGTTTATTCATAGCTCAGGTTAACAGCTAATTGCTGATTCACTCATACACTCCAAAGTGTTTGTTTAAAGGATAGTTGGGGAAACATGAATGCAAATATAATTAAGATTTCTGCAAATTCCATCTTGTTTATCATTTTATCTCTGTGTGTATTTCCTGTTTAGATGTCCTTGTTAACACAGTCAACTATCTTCATTCAATGGAATTTCAAAAATGTCTTTATTCTTCCACTTCTATTGTTTTATCCTGAACAGCAATATAGACATTGCACACATTCAAAAACACACACAAAAGCTCCATATTTGTCTGCCCTCCACAGATGCAAATACATGCACACATAACTTTCCAAGGAACCCAGATCATTGTCACAATGGCATGTGCATGTCTGTTGGCATGCCAACCCTCCCATGACCTTTGACCGCTGTTTTTCAACAGAGGCACCCTGGGACTTCTGAAGAGCGCAACAGTGAATTTCAAAGTGGACACTGGCACAATCCTGCACAACTTCAGTCACCTCATTATCACAACGCCTGTGTGTGCATGTGTGTAGGACTATTAAAAAACAACTGTGGCGCATGGGACGAACAACCCTGGAACAGCTATTTATAAATCTATCAGCCTCATTACTATGTGTATTCTTAGTAACAACAAGCAGGTTTCAAACTAGTAATTTACTAAACCAGTCTGCAATATTTAAAAAAAAGCCTAATGTAGTGAAAATCTAAGTAATGTCTAACCTGGTTGCTTGTAAAAATTTGTAGCACCATTCAGTCAAAAAAGATTGTACATGGAGAAATAGCAGTTTCAGAGTCACTATTCAAGCAATTTAGAATGAGCGGGAATGATCTGATTGTGCTAACCTAACTTTACTGGTATAATGCTTTGTATTTTAAGGTATATTTTTACATAAAATCTTCCCAGTTCTTTATGTAACAGCATTTTGATTTAAGGTCAGATATATGAGCTATATTCCACAGTGTCTCTTTAACTTTTCCATCTTCACAGGGGTTAGCAAACTCTTTTTTTTTTTTTTACCCAGTTAGCTACAAAACAGTTACATGTGGCAGTTAGTGGGTGTAAAGTATCAACAACAAAAAATTTAGATATATAGCTTCACTTAGTAAACATTCAGGTTAAAACATGACTAAGTTTGAAACAGGCTAAATAACTGACATAATGTGTGTTGTTTAGTGTAGTTTACGTTATTATTAGCCAGCATATTGATCGAGTGTCAGCTCAGTGTTCCACATCAATCTTTTAACTCATCAATCTAAACAGGTCATAATGCTAGCAAACTATTGTTAGTTTGGTTAGTTCAGTTACATACTGTATGTATAGCAGTTACTAGATGTAAATGATAAGTAACAACTAATCTCTACTTCTGTGTGGTGCAACTCTTTTTCCACTTTAGAAACGTATAAATACACGAATCATTAGCAGCCATCTTGGCCAAAATACCTGTAAGATAGCTAAAATCCTGCAAAGCTCCTGATAGATAACACATGGACAGAGAGGGAGCACTGCTTTATGTATGTGTGTGAGTATGCATGTTTGCATGACATGAATCTGGATTACATCACAAGAGAAGAACTGGCCTCTGATCTCTGGGCATTCACATTCATATATTCACATGTCAAATCTGTTGTGAGAGAACATTACTGTTGTCTGCCATAGACATTTCCACTAATCCCTCCAGAAACAAATGCAGGGTTAAATTACCATCAATCAATCTGTTCTCTGATCATTCAGCACATGAAGGAGAACTGACCCTGTATCAGTGCTACACTCAGCCTTGGGCTAACTTAATGGAATGTGTCACCGACTTTGCAAATCACTGGTCTGAATTAAAACTGACAATGCACCCCCAATGACATGTTAATGCCAAGATACATCTGTGTGTTCGTGCATGTACTACTTGTATTTGCATGTCACAGCAGCAAAGTTAACTGCAGACACCGAAAACAAAGCAGGAAATCTGTTCTGGCATGGAAACTAATCTCATTTCCATGGAGACATTCCTACAAACACTAAACAATCCAATCAACAAACAAATTAATGAAGTCTTCAGTACCAGCAAATTGTATCCTGCAAATAACAGAGGATTTGTAGCAATGCTAACAATGATCTACAAGGCTAAAAATTGTCTTTAGCATTATAAACACAGTCCTGGTTAACCAGCAGACATAGAGCCTTAATATACATATCTCAAACAAAAAATTAAGATGTGACCCTGCAACTAACATGGCACAAAATGGTAGCCTGACTCATCACCCTTGATGAATCCGTCCCTGTCAAGGCTACCATGTATGCTACAGGCCTTATTGCTCGCAGACACAAGAAATAGGCAAACAACACATGAAATGTGAGACGGTATGCATTGTAGGTCAAGAAGAGTGGTATTCTGTTTAACAAGTTGCAAAACAAGGGTGCTATTGCTGAAACACGATGCTAGAAGTCATCTCTAGTTGGTGATGCTACAGCATTCAGCTTCAGATACATGAAGCAAGAGTCAGAAAGACAAGATTGGAAAAAGAGGGACTGATGCTTTTTGCATCAGCATAGCAAGCACATGCATAAAAATTTACATTTTAGCTTTGAATGGCTCACATGCTTGTAAGGCTAGGTAAACTTGTAGAAATCAAATACAAAATTATGATTATTTACCTTTGTCCAATTAGCAACGCCATATAGTGTTCATGCATAATATTGCTAATTTTATTGCTACAAATAAAGAAAAACCTATAACAGTTAGTTCAAAGGAATCATATAATTAATAACCAGACACAAAATTAGATGTACATGTTTGGGGGCAACAGTGGTGCGGTGGGTAGAGCAGTTGTCTCCCAACCGGAAGGTTGAAGGTTTGAATCTTGGTGCCTGCAGTCCACATGTCAAAGTGTCCTTGGGCAATACACCGAACCCCCAAGTTGACTGTGATGGCAGCGCGTATGCATGCAGTGGCCTGGGGCCCTCAGCTCCAAACAAAATTTTGTTGTACGTGTTACAATAAAATAAAGCTTCTTCTTCAGAAGGTCAGTGTTATCTTATTTCCTGTCTGGTTTAATGTTATGAGAACAATACCCGCAGGCTCTGGAAGTTTGTTGGAAAATAACACCAGCAATTGACAGCAATATAAGCCCTTTAAATATGATATTACAACTAAAGTGGATACATGAGCTCGGCTGTGAAATAATCGCTGTCTCTTTTCTGAGACTGGACTTGGTAAAAAGGCAAGAAGACCATCGTGGGAACAACTTGGAAAATGACTGTATTCCTGTAAAAAGAATTAATCCTATTGACAGTGATTAAGACTAAACTGAGATTTTACCATTATGTAAGTATGCATAGGCTGCATATGAAGAGTCTACACTTGATGCAGATACACACATCTGCTTAAGCTGTCTAGTGGGAAAATACAGCAGATGAACTTTTGACCCTTGAAGCTAAAGCCAGGCCTCTGTGCTTCTTTCAGAACAGTTATACTATAATTCAGTATGAGGGGCTGAAGCACAGGGGTGAACCCATGTCAGTGTTTACATCACTAGTCAAAGCTGCACTGTTAAGGTCAAGGTCTGCCTTGATAGCTTCAAACAAAAGCCACATTTGATGCAGTTCAGTCCTATAGTGCAACTCCCGAAAGTATCGATCCCCTACTACAGTATGCTCAATGATCAAGATGGGTTCTGTGCTTTTTGGAAAATTTGCTAAATTCAACTTGACTTTTTTGTTTTATTATTACAAACACGCTAAGGCAAACTCTTGGGTCTGCATCCCATGTTATACTTCCCTTCCCTTATGCTGAAAAGAAAAATTCAAACATTTTACTGAAGCGAGAACAGCAGCAGTCAGATCGATTATTTGGTTCCTTACCTTGTTGTAGTAATGAAGCTGGATAGAGTGCCACTGGCCATTGCTGACTCCACCAGGGATGTAGGGAGACACTGTGGTCTTCTTCTCACCTAGATGACAAGGAAAGGACATTGCACAATGAAAGAAAGTGGTGGGTGAAAAGAAGAAGAGAAAAAGCAGTGAGTAGAGGAAGGACAAAGGGTAGAGAAGGGGAATTGAATGTGGGAAAAAAAGATAGCATCAATGTGCTGAACTGAGCAAGACAGTGTTTTATTTCTTATGAAATCAACTTTCATTTATGAGGAACCTCTGTTCTTTTGTCTTTCAAAAGTTAAAATGTGTTGCTTTAATGTAACTGAAATAAGAATTGCTCACAAAAAAGTGAATATAATTTCATCTAAATGATTAAACACAGCTGCTGTTTATATCTGCTGCACAGTTTCAGTTTAACACCCACATGATTAATTTAAAGGGACAGCATGTAAACTGAGAGTGAGTGGTATGGGGCAACAAGCAGGAAACAGCAAATACACTGAATCATGAGGCAGGCTGACAAACTAATTAATTATTTAGTTTCAACTTTGAAATAAAACCTTTGTTTAACTGTGAAATGCTTTATTAACAAACTGGAGGCACAGGAAAGTCACGAATTCAGAAAACAAACTCAATGTCCATCTAAAGTTTGTTAACATTAGCTAATGTCAGCTAATGTTTGCTAGGAAATATTCACCACTACATGCTACTGGTCATACCAGACCAAGGGTGTGTTTTATGCTACTGGTCATACCAGACCAAGGGTCAATTCATTATGAATTCAACTTTTCATGTATAAGACAAAGACTGTGCTTGTCATGCTTCAAAGTTAACTAGTGTTGCTTTAATGTCAGTGAGTAAGAGAGGGAATGCTCCCAGAAATGTGTACTTCACTCAAGATATTGCACAAGTTATTGTCCTAAAACACACACACGCAGAGATCATAAATCAACAATTGTTAGCAAAGCCAGTATTAGTCTGCAGTATCAGCAGTGCTGTAAAGTACAGTGGCACCAGATTTACTGAGGGGGTTTACTCTGTTTGTCAAGGGCAGAAGCAGCCTGGGCAGGAATCCACTGCACAGGAAATCAGTAAACCAGTACACCTTACAGCAACACAGACAAGCGGTGTGTGCAAGTCTTTGTATGTGAAAGTATGGAAAGAATTAATAAATCATGTCTGTTTTCTGGCTATGAATGTGAGGAACAGATTACAAAGAGGGGAAAGCATGTGTTAGTAAATGATGTTCTACTTTGACCTTGTAATTACTACTGTATACTGTACAAAGATAGGGAAGCATTGAAAGAGATACACTGCAAAAAACTACAATCAAAGACTTTCCCCTCACTCCTCTCATTAACCACCAGTCACTATTCAAAGCATTTAATTTGATGATTCATGCACCCAGCATTTAGTCGCATTTCAATTTTTGAACCAGGGCACACAAAATTGGCTTGACTCCCAAACAGGCTTCACCCAACATAATAATATTAAACTGGAGTCCTCCCTGTATGGTAGCATGGGAAAGTAGACCAACTCTGAAAACAACAGTCACCAATCCAACTAAGATGTGTTTGATCTTCAAGCCAACGAGTAACAGTTTGAACAATGATAGTGGGTGTGTGTTTGATTGCACTTGAACTGTAAGTGTGTGTGTTTGCATGTGTATGTGCATATTTGTGCATGTATGCAATTTTTTTAAAAAGCTTCAAGTGTTATACTGATACTGCGTGTGTGTACTGTGGAGGTGTTTTTTTTATCAGTTAAAAGTCTGTGCCATCATCAGTCGGAAGAAGCAGAAGCTTTCAAAATAGTAAAGCACATCCACCCCTCTCACCTTTACATACAGACACACAAAGAATTATTTATTCATCTCTTTGTGAAAGTAATTTAGATATAGTGTGTGTACACTTGTGCTACACTATTTACAATGTAGCAATGTAATAATTACTTTCACCACCACACACAGACTGTTACACACACACACACACAATTTGAAACCTAACCTCCAGAGAAGGTGAGCTGAATTTGTTCGTCAATGATCTCCAGGGCAATGAAGTCATGTTTTTCATTGAACCTGCCATTGTAGAGAAGGAGAGCATTCCGCTCTCTCGTAGCAAACCTGCAGAAACAAAAAATATTTTTTATGATCTTTCAGATTCTTTTAGGTAGTAGAGGAACAACTAAAAATGGAGATACTGTATGTGGTATCTGTTTAAATTTGGTTGCATACAAGTCAAAAGTAGTTTACGTGTGTTTTGCTTTCTGCTGTATGGAGGATCCATTTATCCAACTTAGAACTCCAAAGTGAGCTTTAACACACTGAACATTCAGATTTGTGTTACAGAAAAGGTTGAGTACTGTCTGCTCGAGTTCATAGTTCCAGTCACATTTCTAAGCACCTATCCAAGTCAAACAGACCAAGACTGAACGGTTGAGAGCCTTGCAGATAACTTTATAATTAAAGGACTGAGGGGTTCTAGAGAAACAGTCACTTGAAAAGGAAAGGCAGGATGTGTAAAATCAGCAAGGAAACAGTTCCCTTGCTTTAAATGATGTGCAAGTGTAGCAGAGAGGGAGAAATTAGCTCAGTACCTTCTCTTGTGTGTGTCTCTGAGGGTACAAAGTTCACACATGTAGCTGTTTGTGTGTTGGGAGTGTAAGGTGAGGGCAAAGGAGTCAGCTGACAGATGCCAGTGAAGCCTGCAAGGCAGGATGTCAGGATGGCTGTAGTAAAACACTGATAAGGGAAACTCATCAGGCAGCCTTTCCTGTTTTCACCGCACTGCAAACCTTTCTCACCATCATACTGTTGATGAACTCACGTTATTATACTCATCTCAACTAATGCAATAGAGATTTTTTGCGACATAATATTTACTGTGTGCATGTCAAAAACTTGCTGTACCAGAGTTATTTACCTTCAGCAGTTTCAGTTTATCTGACAGTGTGAGAACACAAGCACATTCAGGTGGAGTGTGTGTTTTCTTTGCTCCTGTATGTGTATATACATGTGCGTATTAAAAGGAGGGACCTGAGACACAATGGAAAAGTGTGCACATGCCTCAGCACGCCCCGTGTGTTTAATTGAACAGCTCCTCACACTCCCTAAATTACAGTTTACTAGACACACTGCTACAAGTATCACTGACATGTTGTGCTGCTGTGCTGCAAAAAAGTGTTGCATAATGCAGTAATAGCAGGTGGGTGTAAAGAAAAAAGTCACATTAACAGATTAAATTTTGTGATTCTAAAATGTTCTACATTTGAGGAAATCCATTAGCTCAGTCTGTTGGCAGTTACTTTGTATAAGTTCTTATCTATGAGTTCTAAAAGTAAAGGTATGTAATTTAAATAGTGTTTATCAGCTGTTATATAAGATGCAGTGGTTGGCACATCTGGCTAACTATAGCTTATTACTTATTACTGTCTGAAAGCTCTTCTGGCAATGTGTATATGTGTATATATATTTATAAATTGTTTGTTTCTCTTTTTTCTCTTGTTCTCTTTCCTATTTTAAATGGACATGTTTTCCTATTTTCTTTCTTTCTTTTTTTAAATTACAACACCAAAGCAGCACATTAACAAAACAAGACAAAACATAGAAGACAAGACAATAGATACAGGGCATTACAAAAGAGACAGAGGGTTTTACTTTGGTTTGTGTGTGTGAGAGTGTGAAGTGTGGTTGTGTTCAACTTTATGCAATCTACATAACAAAGCAAAACAAGACAAAACAAAACAAAAACAATAATAATACTAATAATTAAAGCAAGGAAGAAGGGGAAATAATAAAAGATAAACAGGGGTGAGAGGGTGACAAGGGGATTTAAACCAGTGAATGAGTAATAAAGACAGGGAGTGTACAGGTAATATATCTGCCCCAAATCACAAGCATTGCAATAAGATGAGGTCATTACTGGGGAGCCCTCCATTTTTTTTCTACTTGCTATTTTTTTCTATTTTTCTATTTGGTTATTGACTTACAAGCACTTTGACAGCTTCTGTACTGGAGACAAATTCCTTGTGTGTTTAAATATACTTGGCCAATAAACATGATTCTGATTATTACATACAGCAGTAAAACTTGGCCACTGTCTTTTAACACAATATGTAGCCTTAAATATTTAAAAAGTCCTTAACAAGATTCTTCTTTTAAAACAAGTCAGCTAGCTAGCAACATTAAAATGTCAGTTATTAAAAATACAGCATTTTCAACACTGGAGATGACATCAGCTTAATTAGCTACCTTTAATAAGCAACATCTGATGGTAAATCTGCCATTTTTATTACTGTAAACTGAATATGTGCCATGTGAAAATGGAAAGCTTGACAGGCACAGTCAGTTAATTGCCTTGAACTGAATTTCACCCAAACCTAGTTATTTAAAAGAGGGTGTATGGCAGTTTGTGGCAATTAGGAAACAAAGGAGGCAGGCAAGAAAGTACTTACATGAAGGAGACAGTAAAGTGGAACCTTTGCCGCAGGCCTCTGAAGGTGATGAACGACTGTCCAGGGAAGCTGCGGGTGGTCATCTCACAGTAGGGCTTCTCGTACTCCCCTGGTGGACACTGGCACATGAAACCACCTGCCAGTCGGTTCACACACTTACCACCGTTTTTACACACACCAGGTACACACTGATCTGATGATGCATTCAGCTCACAGTGTTCGCCTAAAAGAAAAAGACAGGACTTCAGTTTAACACAATTTCTGTACCATAATGTATCTGTTACACAGTATGTAATGTCCTTTACTTGTCCTTCAGTTCATTTATTTTTTTATTACTGGTGTTGACACCTTTACTGCTGACCTGGTTGGAATAAATAACATCTTCATACCCTGTATGTACACTCTACATCATTTCATCTTTTCTGTGAGGCATGCTGGCCACAGTTGACTGAAACACAGCCAAATGGAATCCAGTTGTTTTAACAAGATGTCTTTGATGATCAGTCAAGCACACTTACAACTAAGTCTGCAGAAAAAAACATGGTGTTAGCATTATGTTGTTAAGGCCCCTTTTAAAATATCAGTTCGAGAAAGGCCTATCTCTATCCAAGCATTAGCAGCAATGACAAAGCCTAGTTTACATGGCTTTTCTGGGAAACCACAAAGTACCCACAAAGTGATGTTACCATATTTGGAGAAAGGATGGAGACAAAGAGGAGTAAGGAGCAGGCAAAGGGAGTGACAAGATTAAAAGCTAACTGAGAGTGAGCAAAAGACAGAAAGAAAGGAAAACTGGATAAGCTGAAGCAAGGATGAAAACTCCTCAGTTAGGTCCAATCTATAGCTGAAATCAAGCTGAAACTTTAACGTGAACTTGATGTTTACAATAAAAACTGGATAAAGACACCAAAAGAGCTCTGTGTGATCTTTCATCAGTGCATTAAAATGCATGCCTGGGCCACTGCTGCTGCAGTCTCATTAACTAAAGCTGTCAGTACAGAAGCTTTATCTGTTTTAGACTACCAGTCAAAGGACTGAACACACTTTCCCATCCAATTTAATCAGGGAGGTGTGTCCAGATGTTTGACTGGAAGTGAATATGACTGCTGAAAGATTTACAATGGTTTAGATTTAATAGTTTGGCTAGAAACTCACCAAAATTAAGCACTGGGATTTGGGACTGATCGTATCCAGTTGAAACTTACCAGGACACTTTGAATTAGCTCATTATAAATAAGCTATTTTCAAGTTGGCTTGTTTGTTGCCATAAGTTTGTCCTTCACTATCCAACTTAGTAGCTGCATGATGATATAAATTTTATTAAATGATATCATCCTATTTAGTTTCTCTACAGCAGTGAGTCTTGTCATGGGAAATTCCTCCTAAATGACCATGTGGCTCTAGCTTTGTCTAAAATCAGTGACTTGGGCCCAGTTTCCTGACTTGGCTCATTGAAATTCCTCCACTAACACACCAGCAGACTTCTTTCTGACTGTAATATTACTTGTGATGGGTGCCTCTGTGTCCCATGTAGGGTTGTGTATAAACCTGCTGTCCAGACAAGATCTCTCCACCCAGGACACACACAAACCTCCAACACCACAACCTGGAACCAGCTAATAGCCCCTCTCTCCCCAGTATAATCCCTTTTTTCCTAGGGAGAATTATAAGGATCAGTTTCCCTGTAATAACGGAAACCCAAGGAGGACAGAGTGGGCCCCTGCTGTCGTCAGTGCCATAATGACCCCTGATGAGCATAAACTATCTGGAGTTGGACTGTGACCTTGAAGGGGGGGCACCGAGATGTGGGTAAGGGAAATAGGATGGGTGAGTGTAGAAGATGTACATGGGGGAGTAGGGGAAGAAGGCAAGAGTGGGCCAGTGAATTACAAAGGCAGGTATAATCAGGTAATGAGATCAGATAGCATGGGTGAAGAGAAAGAGAGGAGAGGTAAGGTGGTGAGACAGACAGAGGGAGAGGAGGGATGAAGGCTGTCAGGGGCTCTTTATGCTCATTTATAGAGGAACAAGGGAGCAAAGGTAGACAGTCAGGTATCAGATGTACAAAGGAAAAGTTATGGGAGGAAGATCAATGACATCAGGAAATATTTTGGAAAGTGATTTCAATGGGAATGATAAAAGCTTCCAAGTTATCCCATGGCTCAGCTACCATGTGAATACTGCACACACTGTAATTACCATAACTCACAGCTTTGTTCTTTTTTCCTAAGTCAATGAAAAAGCCAGGTTTTAATATAACGGTACTGTTGAGTTTTAATGTAAAAGTTAGTCTTACATCCAGTGTTTCTCTCCCACAAAAATGCATTTCCTCTTAGAATATTTGAAATGTCAGTTCTTTGAATATTTTCAAAACTGCATTGATTCATATTTGTTAGCTAGCAGTCTCTACCTTTTAGTAGGGTGTCGCTATATGTCTTGGCCCATTACCACCACATGTGAATCAAAGGGAATAGCGAAACCTGCATGCTGATAAACATACATGTGCATCTTTATCCACATGGTAATAGAGCTTGAGATAAAAAAAAAAAACACAGGTTAACTTTAAAAAAACACAGGGATAACTTTAAACCAGCATTCAAGTATGTTTTTGGCCATTTAGGGACATAAAGTTGTTATGTACTGTAAATAAACAACTTACCTATTTACACATCCAGATGACACTAAGAAACAATAGCATTCATTTTATCTTGTGTTTCTGGCTACTCAACAAATGTAATTACAATATTTAATCACCTTTTTAGCTATCTTCTGACATCCACCAACTCCTGAAGGAAATATTTGGCTCTTTAGCACCTAAATGCTTCCTTTTGTACACTTGTTAATTGCTAACTTTGTCTGTCTGATATGTGCTGAGCAGGTAGCGTATGTCCGTTTATCAGAACGTTTCTCACTAAAAGTAGCAGCCTGCTTCATCTTGCTTCAGCTAGAACCAATGCTGATTATTGCAATGACAGTGAAGCCAAACATTACGTCTGCAGCCCTTAAAAAGCAACAGGATCTGTAGAACTGAAAACTACTGCACAGTCCAGTGATAATCATCTAAAGTTGTCAATGCCAATTCAAGCAAAACATTTCACATTAAAAACAGTTTTTTTAAAAAGTTATACATTTTTGTTATAGTTATATTTAACTGTAGTATGATTATTCTTAGTTTTAAGGTAAAACAATTATTAAAGCTCATGTGGTTTTGGTTGGTGGGTTACGTAAGACAGATCTGGTTCAACCAGTTGAGTCAGAATTCATTGCCATCTCTTCCTCTTTATCTCTGTGCAGCAATAAATCAACTACTGCACGTGTATGTGCCTGTGTGGCTATACCTACACTATGACAAAGCGTGTTTTCCTTTCCTGCTCTGGGGTCGACCTCAAGCTAAAACAATAGGCGGTAAAAGCTTTTACATTTTGTCAGTGCGGTTTGGCAGTTTTGTACGAGTCAATAAAGCCATTGTCAGGCACAATAGGAGACCTTCCTCATACTTATAATTGATGTAGTTTTCTTTGAGAAAAATATCTTATGTGGTTCCTTTAATACACACAGACTATTGTCAAATATGTGTGATTTGTATTAATCTCAATATAGTTTAGTTAAGGCAAAAAAGACTAAGTTAGATTTTGTTCTAAGAATTCAACACAAATGGAGTAATATTTTGATTTTCCCACATACCTCCCATAAGACATGAGCTACAAAAACACTGAATACCAAAAGAATAACTGTGTCATAAGGTCCAGACAGTTGCTTCCAACAAAATATGTAGGTTTTAATGAGGATTATTTTGAAAATGTAGGTCTTTAGTCAAAAGATTTTTGCAATTGCTACACAAAATCTGCCAGTGATGTGTGAAATAGAGCTATATCCAGGATCTGCATGCAATTAACTATAAAGAAATGTCTGTCATAACAATCAAACAAAAAGGATATTACGATAATCTATTTTGACTTTCTTTTGTTGCTTTCAAAGAAAAATAAGTATTAATATTTGTTCAACAATTAAAGTGTTATTTTATCATGTTTTTTCCAGATAGCCAACTCACCTGTGAAGTCCTCCAAGCACTCGCAGGTGTATCCTCCCTCTCGGCTGCGACACCTGCCATTGTTCTTGCATGGTCCTGAGTAGCACAGGTCAATCTCAGTCTCACAGTAGTCCCCGGTGAAACCAACTGGACAGCGGCAGCGCAGCCCATTGATGGGATGGATGGGCCGGAACAGAACCGTGTCAGAGGCGATGAAAGGAGGGGAGCTGTCAAACTTCAGCACCGATACACACTTCATGTAGTTCTCACAGGGCTCGCGCAGGCAGATGTTGTCATCAAATGGCAACACCTGGAGGGAAGAAAAAAAATTTCAGTCATATTAATAATAATTTTTGAGATTTCTCCTACATAACCTTCTGTTGTTTTGATTTGAAACCCTTGAAATGCTAGCTTTTTGTGTGTGTGTGTGTGTATGTTAAATGTGTGTTACCTCCTGAGAAGATATCAGCCTGAGCAGAGTTCTGTTGAGGTAGATCTGCTCCTGTAGCTCCTCAGAGGGAAAGAATGTCCCTTTACCTGGGGACCCTCCAGGCTGCAGTGCAGAAAAGGTTACGTTGAGGATGGAGCCTTGCACATCAGTGTCATTTTGGATGTTGAACACAAACACTGCTTCCCGTTTGGTGGAGAGCACAGCTGCCATGCCATCAAGGAAAAGGCCAAGCAGGGGAGAGAGGAAGCGCTCCTGGGACATGTTCTCCAGACGCACAGTGATGCTGTTGGTCAACATGTCATCAGTGATGATGGTGACACGCAGCGTGCAGAGGGCCACCACATGATGGATACCATCTGGACAAAAGACAGAGCAGATATTTGACTTTTATATAGGTTTAAGTTAAGTAAACAAGTTATCAAATGACAAATGATTTGGAAATGAGAATGAACTGATGAGTTTGGCAAAGTCAGTTAAACCTTCCCAAATCCGACAGAACAGGAAAGAGTCACTAAACTCTAAAATGGTGTTTAATTGCATCTGGGATAGATGTTACAGCTGCACCCATATAATGGATGTATCAAGTGTGAACGTGGCTGAAGAATGAACGCATGGTCTAAACGTATCACATTTGGTAAACCCAGCCAGTCCCATGTCTTCAGCCATGTCTGCACTCTCTACTCCACAGCTTAACTGCTTGACTGTTTAACACATTTGAAGCTAGAATGAACAGTTGCCATTTGGTGTAGGTGTTGTCTGATTAAAGCCCTGGCTTGGAGTAACTGGGTCAGTATAAGATTTCTGTCCCTGGGGAAGACTGGGTCTGGTCTCACACTTACTTCTGGCACAACTGGTGCCTATGGAGGGAAACAAAAGGCTATAGGCAAAGAGCATGGACTGGATGAGATACAGCTGACAACAGGTGGTGAGGCCAGATGAAATTCACCGGGGGGTGGGGAGGGTTAATCCTGCTG